GAGAGATGGGGGAGGGGGGGACGAGGGACGAGGGGGGAGGCAGGCAGCGCGCGGCGGACGGGCGTCGCATCACGGGCACTGCTTCTGTTTCTTCTTCCTCCTCCTCCTCCTCATCATCATCATCCTCCTCGTCGTCGTCGTCCTCCTCCCCCTCCTCCTCCTCATCATCATGCTCCTCCTCCTCCTCCTCCTCCTCCTGCCGTGTCGGGCCGTGCCGTGCCATTCCTTCGGCTCGACGAGGAGGGATTCGATCCCCACCGCGGTCGGGGCGCGCCCCCGTGGCGCGCCGCCAGCGCGGGTGCGCGACCGGCGCGCAGGACCTTCAACGAAACACCTGGCAGGCGCTGCTGCGGGGAATGCGTGTGCTGGTGGCGCAAACATCGGGGGAAGAGAACTATGCACATGCACCGATCCTGACAACGCCCATCCTTGACCCAGGATCGGTGCATATACCCTCCTGGCCAAGGTGAGAGGGCGTATGCACCGATCCTGGGCTCAGGATGGGCCTGGCCAGAATCGGTGTATGTGCATAGTTCTCTTTCCTCTAAAACAAGCGAACGGGCGAGTCTGCCGTGTCAGGCTCGAGCAGAGACCGACGCCTCGGTGGTCGAAGCAGGACAGGCTAACTGAAACGTGCCGGCATCCCGCGTGTCTGTCATGCAGCGGAGGGCGTGTCACTGTCACGCCCCCTGTGGCACGCGTGACTTCGAATTTGAGAACTGGTTGCTGGGGCGTTGGTGGTTGAGCCATTGTGCAAAACAGGCAGAATAAACAAAATTGGAGCACAAAGTTCCCGACCGCCATTTCTCGTAACCCCGCATCGTGGTCGGCGGTGCAGGTGTCCTGCGTGGGCCGCCTGCGTGACTGGCCAAACACCGTGTAGATTAAGTCATGATGGTCAGGCCTATCTGGGTGAGACTGGGTTCGCAAGCAGACATCATTAACCGCTGTGGCACTATGCCAGATCCTTCATTCTGAGTGACTGTCAGGTCGAGGGCCTCCCTTTCAGAGGCCAGCAACATATGTACACGTACGCGGTTAGTTTCCCCTGGAGTGCGTGTCAACGCGGACGTTCGTGCAGGCAAGATTGCGGAGGGCGTACATGTACATATGTCGTTGCTCGCCCACCCTTCGGCCGCGAAATCCGAACCCTACCCTCGCCGATCATCGGTTCAGGCAACTGGATGGGCGGCGGGGGTAGGCTTCGGAAATCGTCGAACACGTGGCGATGTTCGAACCCTACCCCCGCCTACCATCGATTGAGGAGACTTGATGATTGGTGGGTTAGGGCTCCGATGTCGCCACGTGTTCGACGAAGTCAGCACCGAGATGCAAGGCTGCCTGGGGCAGCATCGTGCGGATGGAGGGCCGCGCGGCGGCGAGGACGTCCCAGCTTCCGGGACGGCCAGCGTGGGCGCCGCTCCCCGACGGGGCCCGGGAGAGGAAGGCGGGCGTGGGTAGCATGGAGCCGCTTCAGGCTGACCCGCTCGCCGGCCAGGAGGCCAGTCATGCTGCTTCTTGGGCGCGGAGATCTTGTGCTTCACCATCGCCGCGCCGCTTGGCGGCGAGGTCCGAACCCTACCCTCGCCGATCAGCGATTCAGGCAACTCGATGGGCGGCAGGAGTAGGGTCCGGAATTCGACCGAACACGTGGCGAAATCCGAACCCTACCCCCGCCTACCGTCGATATCCGCGCGGCTGCCTCGTCGCGGTCGGGCACGTGGTCGACCGCGAAGAATAATAATAAGAAAAGGATTTCGCCGGCCCAACGGGCCAAGTGCGTGCTGAAATCTCCAGTGACTCGCGGGGCCGCCCCTAGGGGTCCCCAGACGAAAAGTACCCCGGCGAGGTCCTGGCAAGCTCTGGCAAGGTTCCGGCATGGTCCCGGCAAGTCCCGGCAAGGTCCCGGCAAGGTCCCAGGCAGGTCCCGGGCAGGTCCCTGGCAGGTCCCAGCAGGCTCCCAAGAGCGTTCCAGGAGCGCTTCAAGAGGCCTCCAAGGGAGGTCAACATGGCCCGAGATGGCCCAAGAGCGATCCAAGACGCCAAAGATGACCTCCAGACCGCCCACAGCGCCTGCAAGACGCCCCCAGAGGCCTCCAAGAGACCGCCCAAGAGGACCCACAAGGGCAGAAATTAGTGATTTTGATGCAGCAGGTTTTGAATGTTTTTGGCGTTCTCGCCTTGGAGGCTTACCAGCGCTCGAAGACGGCCCAAGAGGCTTCCAGGATCGCCCTAGCATAGCCCAAGAGGCCTCCAAGAGCGCCCAAAACGGCCTCAGAGGGCCCCAAGACAGCCCCAGAGGCTTCAAAGATGGCCGAAGAGGCTCCCAAGACGGCTCCAAGAGCGGGCCCAGACGGGGGACCCGAACGGACATTTCGAGCTCTACGCGCAGAGAGGTCCCATGGAGGCCCCCAAGAAGCCCCCAAGAAGCCCCTAAGAGGCCCCTGAGAGGCTCCAGGAGGTCCCCAAGATGCCCCCGAGAGGCCCCAAGAGACCCCCACGAGGCCCTCAGGAAGCCCCCAAGAGGCGCACTGCCGACGACCACTCGGCCAGTCGACCACGGTGCGCACTATGGGCCGGCAGAAGAGTGAAGCAATTTGATAATACTATACTATACTATACTCTAGTTTACTTTATTATATTATACTATACGATATATATACTTTACTATACTATATTAGACTATACTATATTATACTATAATATATCATACTTTGCCATACTATATTATACTTTACTATATTATACTATACTATACTATACTGTACTGTACTGGACTATACTATACGATACTATACTATACTATACGATACTATACTATACGATACGAGACTATACTATACTATACTATAATATACTATGCTATACTACAAATACTGCCACCTATACCTACTACTACTACTACTACTACTACTGCTGCTGCTGCTGCTGCTGCTGCTACTAGTACTACTACTACTAGTACTACTACTACTATTATTACTACTACTACTACTACTACTACTATTACTACTACTACTACTATTATTATTTTCTATTACTACTACTACTACTACTACTACTACTACGACTACGACTACGACTACTACTACTACTACGACGACGACGACGACGACGACGACGACGAACTACTACTACTACTACTACTACCTACGACTACTACTACTACAACTACTACTACTACTACTACTACCACCACCACCACCACCACCACCACCACCCCACCACCACCACCACACCACCACTACTACTACTACTACTACTACTACTACTACGAACGACGACGACGACGACGACGACGACGACGGACGACGACGACGACGACGACGACTACGACGACGACGACGACGACGACGACGACGACGACGACTACTACTACTACTACTACTACTACTACTACTACTACTACTACTACTACTACTACTACTACTACTACGACTACTACTACTACTACTACTACTACTACTACTACTACTACTACTACTACTACTACTACTACTACTACTACTACTACTACTACTACTACTACTACTACTAATGCGTCTATCAAAGATGACACGGCGAATTTTACTAACACGAATGAACATATCAGTGCTACGAACCGTAATAACAATCCGACTAGCATTATATTAATAATAAGATTCGTGATGACAGTGACAAGACGAAACAACACCGTGGAGGGCGCAGCGCGAGCCCCGTGGCGCCGTCTCGCTGCGAGCGCCCTCGCAGCCTCAGAGGCAGGCGGGGTGGGGCGGGACGGCGCCCCGCGGGCCTCGAGCGCCCAGTGCGGCGCTCAGGGAGCATCCCCCGCCGGGTCCGTCACCGAGGGCTGGCTCGGCGAGGTCGGGCGGCGGGCTGGGGTCCCTGAGATCCTGGCGTCCCAATTTTTTCGAGCCCGGCGTTTTCGCTTGTTTTCCAGCCCCCGGACCCTCAAAGACTGCTCCGGCTCGAAAATGACGCAGAAGGATGGGGGCCAGGGCTCCTGGCGTGATTTTTCAAGATGCTTCAGTTTTTTCGCTACGCCGGATCTAAGGGGTTACAGGCGGCCCCGCCCGAGGCTGGAGTTCATTTCGACCCGACGCCCTCGGAGCCGATGTCTCAGGACCTGCAGCTTCAGGAGGGAAGAAATATCCAGACACAAAGGATCGTCGATTCCGTTGAAAATATGGAGCAGATGGGACGTGGAGGGGAGAACGAACAGCCAGGAAGTAGATAGAGAGAATATTGGGTGCCTCTGGGGGGCTTTTGGGCCTTCTGGACATCTGGGGGTGGAGAGCCTCTCGGGGCCTCTTGTGGCCGCCTCGGGGGCGTCGGGGGGCCTCTCGGGGCCATCTTGGGGAGAGAGGCTCGCAAGGGCAGCTCGTATCCCCCCATCCTGGGCCCCTCCTGGGGCCCTCTTGATTCATCCGTGTGCCCCTGGGCCCCTCCAGATCTCCGGAGGACCCAGACCTCCCTGGGCCCCGGGGCATGCCGATGCCCTGTACCTCCCGGGGCCCTGCCGCCCTACTGCCCCTGCCCCCCTGCGCGCGACGCAGCCCCCCGGGGGTCCGTCCGCTTCTGCTCCCCCCTTCCCCTTCGGTGCTCCTCTCGGCTCTTCCGATTCGATTCGATTCGACCTCGGTGGCTTCCGATCCCGAGTCCGATTCGGCTTCGGATTCCGATCCGGGTTCCGATTGTTCACTGGAGCCCTACCAGCCTGCCGATTTCCGCCAATTCGACATCTCAGAACTCGGCTGCCGATTTCCGTCCATCCGATTCGTGTCGATCGCCGGTCCGACTTATCGATTCGATTCTGGGCTCTCCTGCCTTTCCTTCGCACCACTCATCGTGCAGGACGGGGCAGTAACGTGCAATGCGGGCAGCCGTGTGGGTGCATTGTGCCCTTGCGTGATTCAGCTGCTCTTCGTCCTCGTCCTCGTCGCCCTTCTCCTCCTCCGCCTCCTTTCTTTCCCATCCTCGCACCCCTTCTCCCTCCCCCGCCTGCTCGTGCCAGACTCCCACAGGGCAAGGGGGACTTCGGCAAGGGCAAGGGGGACTTCGGCAAGGGCAAGGGGGACTTCGGCAAAGGCCAGCAGTGGGGCCAGCAGGCGGAGCCGCGTGCTCTCCGGCCTTCTGACGACGCGCAGACGTCCCACCGGCCTCTCTTCGTCCCGCCTTTCGCACCCTTTTGCGTCCCCTGCCCGTCCTCTGGACGCTGCTGCGGCCCCTCTCAACCCATCCCCGTCCCCCCTCCTCCAACAACCTTTAAGTCGGGCCTGTTCTTCTACAGGAGGAATTTTCAAACATAGTCAAAAAATAGTCCGGGACGATTTTTCTAGCATTTTTTTAAGGGGTATTTGCATTTTTTCGTCCCAAATCCGCTTTCAGGGGGACATGCCCCGACCTAAAACAACCTTCTCTTCCCCTTGCACCACCTCTTACCCATCCATTGGCCGAGCATCGCCGCTCGATCCTGCGCCGATGCAGGCACCCTCATGACGTGACGCTCCCCCTTGGCGTGCCGCTCCCTCTCTTGCAGCGAGAGTGCGACGCCTGTCGGGAGAGGCTTCTGGACAAAGCTGTGAGCGGGCGACAGGCACCCCTTTGGTGTGCCCGTCCGCTCATGCCACTCATTGACGGCTGGATGAGGCAAGGAGTGCCAGATTCGTTCTGTCAGCAAGTTTGATTCATCCCTCCCACTTTCCCTCCTGCTCTCCTGCTGCTTTCTCCCCCTTCTTCCCTAGCCTTACCTGTCCCTCACCGTCGCTCTCCCGCTTCCGTCCCCGCTTCGCCTCGTTGGCCTCATCGTCGCCTTCGTCGTCCTCGTCATCGCCTTCGTCGTCCTCGTCATCGCCCTCGTCGTCCTCGTCGTCGCCCTCTTCGGCCTCATCGTCGCCGTCGTCGTTCTCATCGTCGCCCTCGTCGGCCTCACCATCGCCCTCTTCGGCCTCATCATCGCCCTCGTCGGCCCTGAAAGTCCCCCCGGTCCAAGAGCGCCCAGTGAGCCTCGACCCTGGATCCCCGATCTTTCTCGACGATCTTCCTCGATCCTGGATCCCCTCGAGCCTCGATCCTGGGCCTTCGACGACGACCCCGTCACCCTTCTCATCGTTCACGTGCGCCATCTCGCCCCCGCCACCTTGCCCTCCACCTCCCCGAACACCACCACGTTCCTCGACCTTCACCACCTCGTCCCCCCCCCCCCACCATCTCGCCCCTACCGTTTCGACCCTCGATCCTCGAGTATCCCTCTCGGCCCTCGACCCTCGATCCTTTTCGATCCCCGACTCCCCACTGAGAGGATTTCGGCCCTCCTTCCCCGCCGCCGCGCCCAGGCCCCCCCCCCCCCCCGGCGGCCCCCCCCCGCGCGCGCAGGACCCGTACGCGGCCGAGCAGCGCCGCCAGGCCGCCGCCGCCGCCCCCCGTCGGTGCTCGCCCGCCGCCCGTCGTCGATCGTCGCCGTCGTCAGTCAGCCGCCGGCCGTCGTCGATCGTCGTCGTGATCGATCTTCGTCCTCGCCGCCGCCGCCGCCGCCGCCGCCGCCGCCGTCGTCGTCGTCGGCGTCGTCGTCGTCGTCGTCGTCGTCGTCGTCGTCGTCGTCCGTGAGCCTCCCGAGCGTGCCCGCTCGCTTCCGTCGCCCGTCGCGTGACAAGCGTGGCTGCCGGGAGGCTCACTCCAAGTGTGCCCGCTTGCTCCCGGCGGCCATCGTGCCGCCAGCGCTGTTGCCAGGAAGCTCATTCCGACCGTGCCCCCTCGTTTGCGGCGCACACCGCGTCGCCAGCGCTGCTGCCAAGAAGCTCGCGAGAAGGCTCACGTCCCATGGCGCCAACATCGCAGAGCGGATTTCGTTCGGGAAACGATAGGATGGGCCCAGAGTGTCCTGGACAAGTTCGTTCTGGATTTCGAGGTGAATTTCGTGCGGATTTTTTTTGGCCAGGAATGAAGACTGAAAACAAATTACGCGAAATTCATCTCGTTTTTCACTCGCCTTTTCAGGGTTTTGCATTAACAGAGATCCACGCCAAAAATCCGCTGCAGCACGTCTGCAAGGTCGGTGCAATGACACTTCAGCGTGCCCCTCGCCTCCGGCACAGGTCACGCTGCCAGCCTTGTTGCCAGGAGGGGAGCCGGGAGGCCCACTCCGAGCGTGCCCCCTCGCTCCCCCAGCGCACACCGCGCCGTCGGCGCTGTTCCCCAACCGGGCTTGCCTAGCGAGGCCTCTTACAGTTTACTTTCAGGAGGGGAACACAAGACACAATTAATCGTTGCCTCCCAGGAAAAGATGGGGATATGGGAAGCGGGAGGGAAGACGACAATCCTGAAAACATGTGGGATTGTAGGGAATCCTGGATTTGTGTGTATTTATTTGTGTGTCCCTGGGCCTCCTTCATACTTCAGCGCAACTCCCGCAGTGCAGGTGCCCTGGCGCGGTGCCCCTCTCCCGTGAGCCTCCCGTTAAGTCAGGCCTGCTCCTCTACAGGAGGAATATTCAAAAATAGTCCAACCATAGTCTGGGGACTTTTTGTTGTTGTTGAACATTATTAATTCTAAAGAATAATTATTGTTGGGACCCCTGGTGCACGGCCCCCCTGCGCCGCCTAGGCCGCAGCTACATTTTCATCATTTTCGTGAGGAAGCCTCAGGTAATTCGATGTGATCAAGATCCGGTTGTTTTGTTCCCCCCCGCTTTCCCTTGCAAAAAACACTATAAAATGACATTTCTTGTTCTAATATAATCAAATTTCAAGAATCCCTTGCAAAAAATAAGGTAAAGTGGACATTCGCGCGCGCAAGACGAAATCCTTCCAAAAGCTTAGTGTTCGGAGCGATTTTAACATAAAAACATCAAAAAACCAATGGTTTTTCAACAAAAAAATGTCAAAATCTCATCCCGCGCGCTCTTGCGGATTCGTAGGAAACCCAACACTTTTTAAACATTTCTGTCAAACGGGCTTTTGCGAGCAACTTTTTCGAACTTCTGCGACAACGGTTGCGCACCTGCCAGGGCCATCATCCCTGTCAAATAATACCATGCGGGACACATTCGTTTTTTCTTCGCGCGCGCACGCCGTCGTCGTCGGCCGCGGGGCCCTGAATAATAGCCACGGTCGTCCGCATGCCACGAAGTGAAGTGTCCGAACGTCACCATGCTGGGCACATGCGCGCCCCGAATAAGTGACCAAGTTCTGTGGGTGTGTACCCCACGCCAGTGTAGTAGCCACGGTCGTCCGCACGCCACGAAGTGAAGTGTCCCAACGTCATAGGGCGGGAAGCTGGGTTTGGGTGGTCGCGAAGAGTCGTTTGGATATTTGGTAGAGCTTGTAATGCCCCCCCACGAAGTGGGGGTATTGCCTGGTGTCGTATGAAAACCCTGGCACTGGGGAGAACACCACGCGTTCGGGTAAAATGATTGTTGTTGTTGTTGTTGTTGTTGTTGTTGTTGTTGTTGAACATTATTATTCTAAAGAATAATTATTGTTGGGCCCCCTGGTGCGCGCCCCCCCTGCGCCGCCTAGGCCGCAGCTACATTTTCATCATTTTCGTGAGGAAGCCTCAGGTAAACGATGTGATCCAGATCCGGTTGTTTTGTTCCCCCCCGCTGTCCCTTGCAAAAAACACTATAAAATGAAATTTCTTGTTCTAATATAATCAAACTTCAAGAATCCCTTGCAAAAAATAAGGTAAAGTGGACATTCGCGCGCGCAAGACGAAATCCTTCCAAAACCTTAGTGTTCGAGCGATTTTAACATAAAAACATCAAAAAACCAATGGTTTTTCACAAAAAAATGTCAAAATCTCATCCCGCGCGCTCTTGCGGATTCGTAGGAAACCCAACACTTTTTAAACATTTCTGTCAAACGGGCTTTTGCGAGCAACTTTTTCGAACTTCTGCGACAACGGTTGCGCACCTGCCAGGGCCATCATCCCTGTCAAATAATACCATGCGGGACACATTCGTTTTTTCTTCGCGCGCGCACGCCGTCGTCGTCGGCCGCGGGGCCCTGAATAGTAGCCACGGTCGTCCGCATGCCACGAAGTGAAGTGTCCGAACGTCATAGGGCGGGAAGCTGGGTGTGGGTGGTGGCGAAGAGTCGTTTGGAAATTTGGTAGAGCTTGAACCGGCCCCCCCACAAAGTGGGGGTATTGCCCGCCTCCTATGAAAACCCTGGCACTGGTGAGAACGGAGTGTCCCCAGTCTTAAATGTTGTTGTTGTTGTTGAACATTATTACTTCTAAAGAATAATTATTGTTGGGACCCCTGGTACACGACCCCCCTCCAAAACCTAGGCCGCAGCCTCATTTCCTTCATTTTCTAGCGAAAGCTTCAGAAAAGTGGATTGTGTCCGGATCCGGTTGTTTTGTTGTAATCCGTTTTCCCTTGCAAAAAACACTATAAAATGAAAATTCTTGTTCTTACTTGATCAAATTGCAAGAATCCCTTGCAAAAAATAAGGTAAAGTGGACATTCGTGCGCGCAAGACGAAATCCTTCCAAAACCTTAGGTTTCGTAGCGATTTTAACATAAAAACATCAAAAACCCAATGGTTTTTTAAGAAAAAATTGTCAAAATGTCCTTCCGCGCGCGCTGTCCGAATCCCACAAAACCAATGGTTTTTCAACATTTATGTTACATGAGCTCGCGCGAGCTACTTTTTCTTGTTCTAACATAATCAAATTTCAATAATCCCTTGCAAAAAATAAGGTAAAGTGGACATTCGCGCGCGCAAGACGAAATCCTTCCAGAACCTTAGGTTTCGTAACGATTTCAACATAAAAACATCAAAAACCCAATGGTTTTTCAAAAAAAAATGTCCAAATTTCATCCCGCGCGCGCTGTCCGACTCCCACAAAACCAATGGTTTTTCAACATTTATGTTACATGAGCTCGCGCGAGCTACTTTTTCTTGTTCTAACATAATCAAATTTCAATACTCCCTTGCAAAAAAAAGTAAAGTGGACATTCGCGCGCGCAAGACCAACAAAAAACACGACGATCTCAGGAACTTGCCCCAAAAATGTGACCAACTCCGCTCTCTCTGTCTCTCTCTCTGTCTGCTCTCTGTCTCTCTCTCTGTCTGTCTGTGTCATGTATTGTATGTCACAATTGCAGGATGCTGGGCACACGCGCGCCCCGAATAAGTGACCAAGTTCTGTGGGTGTGTACCCCACGCCAGTGTAGTAGCCACGGTCGTCCGCACGCCACGAAGTGAAGTGTCCCAACGTCATAGGGCGGGAAGCTGGGTTTGGGTGGTCGCGAAGAGTCGTTTGGATATTTGGTAGAGCTTGAACTGCCCCCCCACGAAGTGGGGGTATTGTCTCGCGTCGCATGAAAACCCTGGCACTGGTGAGAACACTGAGCGTTCGGGTAAAATGATTGTTGTTGTTGTTGTTGTTGTTGTTGTTGTTGTTGTTGTTGTTGTTGTTGTTGTTGTTTTTGTTGTTGAACATTATTTCTTCTTAAGAATAATTATTGTTGGGACCCCTGGTGCACGGCCCCCCCGCCGCGCCTAGGCCGCAGCTACATTTTCATCATTTTCGTGAGGAAGTCTCAGGCAAAACGATTGTGTCCGGATCCGGTTGTTTTGTTCCCCCCCGCTTTCCCTTGTAAAAAATACTATAAAATGAAAATTCTTGTTCTTACTTGATCAAATTGCAAGAATCCCTTGCAAAAAATAAGGTAAAGTGGACATTCGTGCGCGCAAGACGAAATCCTTCCAAAACCTTAGGTTTCGTAGCGATTTTAACATAAAAACATCAAAAACCCAATGGTTTTTTAAGAAAAAATTGTCAAAATGTCCTTCCGCGCGCGCTGTCCGAATCCCACAAAACCAATGGTTTTTCAACATTTATGTTACATGAGCTCGCGCGAGCTACTTTTTCTTGTTCTAACATAATCAAATTTCAATAATCCCTTGCAAAAAATAAGGTAAAGTGGACATTCGCGCGCGCAAGACGAAATCCTTCCAGAACCTTAGGTTTCGTAACGATTTCAACATAAAAACATCAAAAACCCAATGGTTTTTCAAAAAAAAATGTCCAAATTTCATCCCGCGCGCGCTGTCCGACTCCCACAAAACCAATGGTTTTTCAACATTTATGTTACATGAGCTCGCGCGAGCTACTTTTTCTTGTTCTAACATAATCAAATTTCAATACTCCCTTGCAAAAAAAAGTAAAGTGGACATTCGCGCGCGCAAGACCAACAAAAAACACGACGATCTCAGGAACTTGCCCCAAAAATGTGACCAACTCCGCTCTCTCTGTCTCTCTCTCTGTCTGCTCTCTGTCTCTCTCTCTGTCTGTCTGTGTCATGTATTGTATGTCACAATTGCAGGATGCTGGGCACACGCGCGCCCCGAATAAGTGACCAAGTTCTGTGGGTGTGTACCCCACGCCAGTGTAGT